GGAGGCCTGGTCACAAACCAGGCCGCAGGGGCGTTGACCCCCGGAACTCTCTCCAGGTAATATCGGAGTAATTGAAATTTCTCATCGTTGAACTTCATATTGTTTTCTGCAGCCCATTGAAAGATTTGGTTGATGTCCACCTGGAGCCTTGCAGTGTCTGCAATGGAAGAAGACACTGTCATGCAGATTTGGGTGTCATCTGCAAAGGAAGACATGGTGCTGTGGCTGACATCCTTGTCTATGTCAGATGTGAGGATGAGAAACAAGATGGGAGCGAGTACTGTGCCTTGCGGAACAGATTTTTTCACCGTAGCCGCCTCGGACTTTACTCTGTTGACTACTACTCTATGTGTTCTGTTTGTGAGGATATTATAGATCCATCTACCAACTTTTCCTGTTATTCCTTTAGCACGCATTTTGTGCGCTATTACGCCATGGTCACACTTGTCAAAGGCTTTTGCAAAGTCTGTATATATTACATCTGCATTTTTTTTGTCTTCTAGTGTATCTAGGACCTTGTTGTAGTGATCCAATAGTTGAGACAGATAGGAGCGACCTGCTCTAAACCCAGGTTGCCCTGGGTTGTGTAATTGATGGGTTTCTAGATGGGTGGCAGTCTTGCTTCTTAGGACCCTTTCAAAGATTTTTATGATATGGGATGCTAGTGCTGTCGGTCTGTAGTTCTTTGCTATTGCTTTACTGCCTCCTTTGTGGAGTGGGGCTATGTCTCTTGTTTTTAGTAACTGTGGGACGACCCCCGTGTCCATGCTCCCTCTCCATAGGATGGTAAAAGCTCGTGATAGGGGCTTCTTGCAGTTCTTGTTGAACACGGAGTTCCACGAGTCTGGCCCTGGGGCAGAGTGCATGGGCATGTCATTTATCGCCTGTTCGAAGTCATTTAGCGTCAGAATAACATCAGATAGGCTTGTGTTAACCAAATTCTGTGGCTCTCATAAAAAATTCATTTTGATCTTCGACTCTCAGTCTGGTTAGCGGCTTGCTAAAAACCGAGTCATATTGGGACTTGAGTAGCTCACTCGTTTCCTTGCTGTCATCTGTGTAGGACCCATCTTGTTTAAGTAGGGGCCCAATACTGGATGTTATTCTCGACTTTGATTTGGCATAGGAAAAGAAATACGTTGGGTTTCTTTCAATTTCATTTATGACTTTTAGTTCTTCCCGCGATTCCTGACTCCTATTAGATTCCTTTAGCTTAAGTTCGATGTTTGCTATTTCTCTGACCAGTGACTCTCTACGCATTTCAGATATATTGGCCTCTTTTAGCTGCTCTGTTATTCTTTTTTGTCGCCTGTAAAGGGAGCGCCTGTCTCTTTCTATTTTACATCTACTCCTCCTTTTTCTTAAAGGAATAAGCCTTGAGCATACATCGAGTGCCACCGAGTTAATCTGTTCTATGCATAAGTTGGGGTCTGTGTTGCTTAGTCTATCTTCCCAGCTTATATCAGTTAGGACTTGTTTACTTGGTCCCACTTTATGTTCTTGTTATTGAAGTTGAATTTGGCGAATGCTCCCTCGTGGCTAATCTCATTATGTCGGTCTGGGGCTCAGCACATACATGTCTGAACCTCGATTATGTTGTGATCTGAGTATATTGTTTTTGATAAGGTGACATTTCTTATCAGATCATCATTGTTAGTGAAGACGAGGTCTAGTGTATTCTCCAGTTTAGTAGGCTCTATTATTTGCTGGTTTAAGTTGAATTTTGTTCAGAGATTTAAAAGCTCGTGTGTGTGTGAGTTTTCGTCAGAGCTGCCTCCTAGTGTTATCACTGCAACAACATTATTTGCTATATCCTCCATTTTAGGTGCCTTAAGTTGAAATCTCCCAGGAGCAAGATGTTGGGGGCAGGAGCTGTCAGATTTTCCAGACAGTGGTCAATTTTTAACAGCTGTTCCTGGAATTGCTGGGACGTTGCATCCGGAGGCTTGTAGACTACCACAATGACTAGGTTTTGGTTCTCAATCTTTACTGCTAAAACTTCCACTACATCATTTGAGGCATTAAGCAGTTCTGTGCAAACAAGTGACTCTGCGATATACAGGCCAACCCCCCCACCCCTTTTGCCTGTTCACTCTGTCGCATCTGTATAGGTTGTAACCTGGGATCCACATTTCGTTGTCCAAGTGATCCTTTATGTGGGTCTCTGTGAAAGCCACGAACATTGCATTTGCCTCTGCAAGCAGTCCACGGATGAAAGGTATTTTGTTGTTCGTTGCTGGCTTTAGACCCTGTATATTTGCAAGGAAGAATGTCATCGGACTGGTGGTACTGGTGGGGACTTTTTTTTCTGGCATTAGTATCTGTATCTGTTGGTTTGGAGTGGAGGCCATCGACTGTGGTTCCACTCCAGAAATGACTGGATTTGGTGTACGATTTCTGCCATTTCCTGCCAGGTTTTTTTCCTTCCTGGCACTAAAAAACCTCTCCCTCTTGAGTGGCTGTGGCTACCCAGGTTTTCCCATGGCCTGGATGTTTTGTATCTTTTTGTCCCCTTTAGATGGTGTGCCTGGCAATTTAAGTTATAACAGTCTTTCCTGTACTGAAGAGGGACACATTTCAGGGTGAAAAAGCTTACAAGAGGTGAGTTTGCATTTTCCTGTTGTCATATGGGCACGGCATTTTCTAGGGTGGTCATAGTTGCACGTCCCATCTGTTTTTCCAGATTTCCTATGCCTACAGATACCAAGTGCATAGTATGTGCACAGGCTTGGTTTCCATTTGCCTTGGGTTTCTGTGACTGTATTCCCTGTTAGTGCATGTTTACCTGTCTCTTTCCTATCCTCACTAGCACTAACAATGGGGCTCTCACCAGTTGTTTTTGGTAATGTATCCTCACTATTGCTAGTGGAGTCCCCTTGTTTGCTATCTCCTGTGGTATTACTAGTTTGTAATATTGGTTTTATCTTGTCCTTGACTACACTTGTTTCCCTGGAGTTTACCTGGAGAGAGTTCCGGGGGTCTGTGACCAGGCCTCCTGGTGGATCAGAGCCTGATCAACCAGGCTGTTGCTGCTGGCTGCACGCAAACCAATGTATGAGCCACAGCCCGGCTGATCAGGACTACACTACAGCTCCTACAACACTACAGCTCCTGTCTCCCTCGAGGTCATTTATATGCATTTGCTCCTGCGTACATGTACTGACTACCTGGACAGCATCTCCATCCTTACCATTACTGTCTCCCAGGACAGCATTATCAGCCCCACATTTACTGACTACTGGGGCAGCACCTCCAGCCTTACAGTTTCTGACTACATGGCCAGCACCAAGGGTGATACCATCCAGCCCAGACTTTTTATTTTCCCATCTGTTATAGAATGCTTCCAGGTTTTCTATGAAGGCTGCTTTGATGTTATCCTCTTTTAACACCAGTGTGATTTTAGCCCACAGATTGACCTCATTTGGGCATACCCAAAAACACTTCCCTGATTTAATACTGCTTGTAGATAGTTCTTGGATATCTGCACAAGGGGCGTGACACCAATTTCCACAAAAATGGCAATTTATCCATGTGGAAGCCCATTTGTTTGATGTACTGCAGACTACACAGAGCTTCATAATGTGATTTGAATGGTTGATTTACTGTAATTCTACTAGTAACCTCTTGAATATTCTACTAATAACCTCCTTAAAGTGAAGCTCTAGCTCTTTGTATTTCTATTTCTAACTGTACTTGTATATTAGGACAGCTTACCGGTGTACGTTCCTGTTTTATATTTATTGTTTGTGTTTGATAAGGATGCCTAAAACACCGTCTGTTCACAGTCTGCTTTATTGTCCAATGAACCCGTTTGAAACCGGTCAAGGGTTTGGACCGGCCAAGGGTTCGGAACCAGTCAGATCTAATCAGTGGGTCACTTATTTAAAACATATCTGGTCAGTGATTTGGCTATCACATGAAGGAACTACTGGAAATTATCTAACCGAGTAATATGTGATTTGATTGATACAGAAGTGTAACTTGCGTGTTGAAGAACCAGTGATTGCTGGCAGCTCCTACAATGACGAATGGTCAAGGCCTCAACCCTTGTTTATAGATCACTGTATCTAGCTTTTCTAGGTTTTTTCCGTCTCCACTACAACAAATGCTATATTATCACTATAGTTGACTGGTTTAATTATTGGAGGAAAGACGCTTTTTTGGAGTAATACATGTATTTGCTTCTCGTTTTGTATATTGCGACTGCTGGTAACTATGGGTTATATGAATTTCACTGTATACGTCTAGTATTTCAAGAAAGAGAAAAAACTAATGAAAGTCACTCCACTCCACTAAGTACCATTATATTACTGGTTAGTTGCTACTACAACTCTGAATTCTCCTATTCACTGGTATCACTAGATTATATGGAGGTACACACGCAGGCCAGGAAGATTATTAAAACAGCTGACCTGTGTGGTAAGTTTCTGGCGACTTCTGGCACCTGCCTCTTTAGGCTTATCACTTCAGTTACAAATTCACCTGTTTTAAATGACACTTTAGCATTTATTATCTATATACTAGGGTGCCACTGTAGCATACACTATAACACTATATATACACAATATTATCAGGGAGATTTTCTTTCCTCTGACAAGGAAAAGTTCTATTATTATTATTTTGCACACAGCATGCTAGGCCTGTTGCATGTTCAGGGCCCTCCTGTGTATGTGGGGCCCTGTTGTATATGCAGGCCCCTGTTGTATTTGTAGGGCCCTCCTGTGTATGTGGGGCCCTCCTGTACTCACATTCAAATACCCAAACTTAAAAATTCCCTTTTTTTTTTTATTTTATTAATTTATTGTGTAAAAGAGAGTACTAAGGCTTTGGTGGCAACATATAAGTCAGTTCATCCAGCAGGTTGTTGATGGTGGCAACATTCTCCATGACGATGAAAAATAAACACTTCGTGAACTGGAACATGTACTGTGCATGTATGTGCATGCACAACTGCATGTATGGTATCAACAAATATTATATGTGTGTATTTTAAATTTCAGACATGCCCGCCATAGACTGGATGCTGGTACATTTGGTACAATGGGAGTCGGTTTGGGCTTTGCCATTGCTTCAGCACTCTGGGCCAGAGACTATGCTCCTGGCAAGCGCATAGTCTGTGTAGAAGGAGACTCTGCTTTTGGGTTTAGTGGCATGGAAATGGAAACCATTTACCGCTATAAGCTGCCCATTATTGTAATAATTGTCAACAACAATGGTAAGAAGTATTTTGTATAATAAATCAGAAAAGTAGAGTGAACCCTATAATTAACCCATTAACATGGCAGGACCCACAATATTGATAATTTTTACAATTGTGGAACTTAATTCAGTAGATATACCTGTATGGTTCCCAGATCACTGAATATGATAGTCATATTTCTCAGAATTCTCTTTGATCACCGGCTGTCCTGGAAACCTCACATTACCTCCCTGAAAGCAACTTGCCATAGCTGGCTGTACCTCTTTAAAACCCTTGCTCATCTTTCTTGGGGGAGGATCGTTTAACTCTCCTTCTGCTTCATTCTGCCCTAATTTTATTGAAACTGGACTATGGTGACCAGAAATATTTTGCGGCCTCTCGTGTCACTCTTTCTTAACTTGATCCCATCCATCATTAGGGATTATGTTTGTGTCTAGGTGTTTTTCACTCCTCTCCTGTCGAGAGTCTATAAGCAGAGACAAATGTTCCATCCTTGAACGATAGCTGTGATGCCAATTCTCTCTGATATTTTGTCTGCTCTCATGACCTTCACGATCCTTCTACATACAGGATAGTAATGGATATTAGTAGAGATCCATTATTTGTTCACTGTTTACTCTGTCTCTCTTCTCTTCATCTTCGCTCTCTCTTGGCTTCTCGACACATGCCCTCTTTATATGTTCATCTAGCATCTACCTTTTCTCTCACCCCTTGGGAGGTTCCAACAGTTTGTGTCTGTTCTTCCCGACTGCTGTGCACAAAAACTCAAATACCTATAGTTGCTTCTCTCTCCCTTTTTTCTTAACCACTTCTGATCTCATTCTCTGGCTTTTGCAGTTTACAGTGATGGTTCTAAATCCTCTGACAATGTTGGGTTTGCAGCAGTGTTCCCAGACAGTGTTGTGTGAGATCATTTATTAGACTCAGCTAACAGTTTTACAGCTGAACTGTATGCAGTTTTCATAGCAATTATACAAATTGCGTCTAAACCTACCTCAACATTTGTGGTAGTCTCTGATTCCTTTAGTGCTTTACAAGCTATCAAAAAATTTGATTTGCCTCATCCCCTAGCTCTATGTATACAACTTCAGTTGTGCCGCATTTCTAGCAGAAATGAAGAAATCATATTCTGCTGGGTCCCTGGTCACATTGATGTTCAGGGCAATAAGCAGACTCTGCTGCATGGTCTGTGGTATATAACCTTCCAGTTTCATGAAGAGGTACAGGAGGGCCCTGCTTTACAGTAATTCACTAATATGGACATTTCAGATTATACCCAAAAAAATTTTATACAGCTTTTGGCTTGCTGTTACAGCATCCACGATTATGTCTAGAAACTTTCCAAAGTTTCAAGTGTTTTAAAGTTATTTTTTTTATTTATTATCACACTGGCCGATTCCCACCAAGGCAGGGTGGCCCGAAAAAGAAAAACTTTCACCATCATTCACTCCATCACTGTCTTGCCAGAAGGGTGCTTTACACTACAGTTTTTAAACTGCAACATTAACACCCCTCCTTCAGAGTGCAGGCACTGTACTTCCCATCTCCAGGACTCAAGTCCGGCCTGCCGGTTTCCCTGAACCCCTTCATAAATGTTACTTTGCTCACACTCCAACAGCACGTCAAGTATTAAAAACCATTTGTCTCCATTCACTCCTATCAAACACGCTCACGCATGCCTGCTGGAAGTCCAAGCCCCTCGCACACAAAACCTCCTTTACCCCCTCTCTCCAACCTTTCCTAGGCCGACCCCTACCCCGCCTTCCTTCCACTACAGACTGATACACTCTTGAAGTCATTCTGTTTCGCTCCATTCTCTCTACATGTCCGAACCACCTCAACAACCCTTCCTCAGCCCTCTGGACAACAGTTTTGGTAATCCCACACCTCCTCCTAACTTCCAAACTACGAATTCTCTGCATTATATTCACACCACACATTGCCCTCAGACATGACATCTCCACTGCCTCCAGCCTTCTCCTCGCTGCAACATTCATCACCCATGCTTCACACCCATATAAGAGCGTTGGTAAAACTATACTCTCATACATTCCCCTCTTTGCCTCCAAGGACAAAGTTCTTTGTCTCCACAGACTCCTAAGTGCACCACTCACTCTTTTCCCCTCATCAATTCTATGATTCACCTCGTCTTTCATAGACCCATCCGCTGACACGTCCACTCCCAAATACAGTGGACGCCCGGTTAACGATATTTTTTCACTTCAAATTTCGTACTTTTTGTTTCATTACCTTCAGAAAAAGATTCTCTACCATTTCATAAGAAAAAATAACAAAATTAATTTTTGAAAATTCTTGGACACTGGTGTGCACTTTGAAATTTGACCTCTGGACCCTAGTGATATTAACCCTAAAAGGGTTAATATCACTATTTAGCATTGTTACAAAGTGGGAATAGCTATGCCAGGTGAGTGAGAGAGTAGTGAAGAGTGTCTCACTACTGTTGAAGACACAATAAGCAAAATAATAATAATAATAAAAATTGCTCTGGGGCACTTTAAATGTATAATTACATTTTAGACATTTCCATTAATACATCTATGACATTTTTTTCAGAATTATATAGGAAACACACTATATATCATATAAACATAAGGCATCTTTTTTATTATTATTATTATTAACACATCGGCCGTTTCCCACCAAGGCAGGGTGGCCTGAAAAAGAAAAACTTTCATCATCATTCACTCCATCACTGTCATGGTAGAGGCGTGCTTACATTCCAGTTATAATAAAACTGCAACATTAACACCCCTCCTTCAGAGTGCAGGCACTGTACTTCCATCTCCAGGACTCAAGTCCGGCCTGCCGGTTTCCCTGAATCCCTTCATAAATGTTATCTTGCTTACACTCCAACAGCACGTCAAGTCCTAAAAACCATTTGTCTCCATTTGGTCCTATCTACCACTCTCACTCATGCTTGCTGGAAGTCCAAACCCCTCCCACACAAAACGTCCTTTGCTCCCTCCCTCCAACTTTTCCTAGGCCAACCCCTACCCCGCCTTCCCTCCACTACAGATTTATACACTTTCAAGGTTATTCTATTTCGTTCCATTCTCTCTACATGTCCAAACCACCTTAGCAACCCCTCCTCAGCTCTATGGATAATCGTTTTGGTAATCCCGCTCCTTCTCCTAATCTCCAAACTACGGATTCTCTGCATTATATTCACACCACTATGGATTCTCTGCATTATATTCGTAATACTTCATAGTGGAACAAATTAGCATTATTGTGAAGTGTGGTAGCCTAGCAGGGCATGAAAGAGTGTACCACAATAATTGCTTTAGCACATTTTCTCTAATACAACACCACTAGAGAAGCTGTGGGTAACTGTAGTAAAATATTCCTATTGTATGCCTTCACTCATAGTATCGTTTGCTCTAAAAAGGGTGTGTTGCTTGAGAATGGGAGTGTTGCTGTTATGTATTCTACTGCACCAACGTGAATACAACTTGAACACAATGTAAAGTGTTTATATTGTGGTGAAAATGATTCACGAACGTATGCATAATGCCAGATGAATACGTATCGGCAACCAGTGTACACATGAAATACGTGTAAATCCGACCACCCACCCGAAACACTGATACCATATGCACATTTATGGAGCACCCTTCCCACCATGTTTTATAATAACAATAAGAATAATAATAATAATAAATAATAATAATCTTTATGTCTATAGTGGCCCGGTGGCCTGGTGGCTAAAGCTCCTGCTTCACACACAGAGGGCCCGGGTTCGATTCCTGATGGGTGGAAACATTTCGACACATTTCTTTACACCTGTTGTCCTGTTCACCTAGCAGCAAATAGGTACCTGGGTGTTAGTCAACTGGTGTGGGTCGCATCCTGGGGGACATGATTAAGGACCCCAATGGAAATAAGTTAGACAGTCCTCGATGACGCACTGACTTTCTTGGGTTATCCTGGGTGGTTAACCCTCTGGGGATTAAAAATCCGAACGAAATCTTATCTTATAAGTGAAACTGGGTGTTGCTGTGAGCTCTTGTTTCTCTCTTGGTCCCGTCTTGAAGCTTTTCAGAGTTTCAAGTTTTTTAAAGTTATCACATAAGTAGAAAGTGTTGTAGGAAATTGAAAGTTCTACATCAGTGCACATGTGATAACCTTATTGCTGAAATGGAAAAAACTTTTACTGGTGTGAAATTAAGATCAAACTAGTCACAACATGCCTTTAAGCCGAGCCATTATCCAGTTCAAGGCCTAAGTCTCTTCAATTTTATGAAGGCTGAGAGAGGTGAGGAAACTGCTGAATATAATTTCAAGGCTAGCAAAGGCTGCTTTCAACTCCTCCTGACTTCCTACAATAAATACTACTCACTTCTCACCGTACATTAAGGCCAAAAATATTTTAAGGTAAGTAATGAGTGTATTGCATATGCATTTTACTTTTTATTGTTTTTAGGCCTATTTCTAATGCTAAACTAATATATGATAGTATAAACATATTATCGGCACTTATTGGCATTTAAAAATTAAAAAAGGGCGAATCACAGCGATTTTGCCTTATGGCAGTATATTGGACCCTAACCCGCCGTATAAGTGGGCCTTCTTGTATTCCAGCCTCAGACTATTTTGCTGTAATCTCTAGCCACCTTTGAAACTGTTAGCAACAACATCTTTCTGAGCTGATTCATAACACAATATATTCTCTCAAGCCATGTTTAGGATCCTGGTCTTGTTAACATGGATGTCATGGTTGGGAGACTACGCTCTCTCGTCTTCACATCAGGCACACCTGTCTCACTCATGTCTGTGTCATGGAGAGTCACCCTCTTCTATTCTGTGAGAAGTGCCAGGTTTCAGTTTCAGTTTGCCATATTCTATTAGACTGTCATGTCTATCAGTAAGTACACAGAATTTACCTCCAATGTCATCACCACTCTAACACACTTTATCTTCCCTCCTTGTTGCCAGTACCACTCTAAAATACTTACTTTATCATCCCTCCTTGGTGACAGTACTACTCTGACACACGTTATCTTCTCTCCTTGCTGACAGTACTACTCTGACACACGTTATCTTCCCTCCTTGCAGACAGTACTACTCTGACACACGTTATCTTCCCTCCTTGCTGACAGTACTACTCTGACACACGTTATCTTCCCTCCTTGCTGACAGTACTACTCTGACACACGTTATCTTCTCTCCTTGCTGACAGTACTACTCTGACACACGTTATCTTCCCTCCTTGCTGACAGTACTACTCTGACACACGTTATCTTCCCTCCTTGCAGACAGTACTACTCTGACACCGTTATTTCCCTCCTTGCTGCTACTACCTGACCACGTTACTTCCCTCCTTGCTGAAGAAACTACTTGACACACTTATTTTCTCTCCTTGCTGACAGTACTACCTGACAACTTTATTTCCCCTCCTTGCTGACAGTCTACTTGAACACGTTATTTTCCCCCCGCAGACAGTACACTCTGACACCTTATCTTCCTCCTTGCTGACGTACTATTGGACACACGTATTTTTTCTCCCCTTGCTGACAGTACTACTCTGACACACGTTATCTTCCCTCCTTGCTGACAGCTCCATATCTGACACAGATTTCCTTATTGACTTTTTGACAACAGATTTATTACACAAACTTTGATTATATTTGGGTTTACATTCACAGCCCTACTAACCCTTGCATTTATTCGCACATTGCTGCTCATTTAATATTTTAAACCCTCGAGTACATCCTCCCCTGCAGGTTATATCCCCTTGGGGGTTTTATGCTACTTGTGATCAAAATAATTCATTCAGTAGACATTAATGACACTATATGACCCAGTCAAGCTGTGGGGGGTTGAGAGGGGGGGGGGGTTGAGGGGGTGGGGGGTTTTGGAGGGTGGGTGGTTGGAGGGTGGTGGTTGAGAGGGGGTGGTTTAGAGGGTGGGGGGGTTGAAGCATGGTGGTTGAGAGCATGGATGGTTGAGGCATGGATGGTTGAGAGGGTGGGGGGGTTTTGGAGGGGGGGTGGTTGAGAGGGTAGGGGGTTGAGAGGGTGGTGGTTGAGAGGGTGGATGGTTGAGAGGGTGGTGTTGAGAGGGTGGATGGTTGAGAGGGGGGGTGGTTGAGGGGGTGGGTGGTTGAGGGGGGGTGGTTGAGAGGGTGGGTGGTTGAGAGGGTGGGTGGTTGAGGGTGGGTGGTTGAGAGGGTGGGGGGTTTTGAGGGGGTGGGTGGTTGAGGGGGTGGGTGGTTGAGAAGGTGGGGGGGTTTGAAGGGTGGTGGTTGAGAGGATGGGTGGTTGAGAAGGTGGGTGGTTGGGAGGGTTTGGGTGGTTGAGGGGGTGGGTGGTTTGAGAGGGTGGATGGTTGAGAGGGTGGATGGTTGAGAGCATGGGTGGTTGAGAGGTGGGTGGTTGAGAGGGTGGGTGGTTGGAGGGTGGGTATTTGAGGGTGGGTGGTTGAGAAGGTGGGTGGTTGAAAGGATGGGTGGTTGAGAAGGTGGGGGGTTGAAAGGAGGGGTTGAGAGGGTGGGTGGTTGAGAGGGTGGATGGTTGAGAGGGTGGATGGTTGAGAGCATGGGTGGTTGAGAGGGTGGGTGGTTGAGAGGGTGGGTGGTTGAGAAGGTGGGTGGTTGAAAGGATGGGGGTTGAGAAGGTGGGGTGGTTGAAAGGATGGGTGGTTGAGAGGGTGGGTGGTTGAGAGGGTGGGTGGTTGAGAGGGTGGATGTTAGAGGGGTGGATGGTTTGAGCATGGGGTTAGTGGGTGGGTGGTTGAGAGGTGGAGGGTTGAGAGGGTGGTGGTTGAGAGGGTGGGTGGTTGAGAGGGGGGGGTATTGAGGGTGGGTGGTTGAGAAGGTGGGTGGTTGAAAGGATGGGGGGGTTGAGAAGGTGGGTGGTTGAAAGGATGGGTGGTTGAGAGGGTGGGTGGTTGAGAGGGTGGTGGTTGAGAGGGTGGGTGGTTGAGAGGGTGGGTGGTTGAGAGGGTGGGTGGTTGAGAGGGTGGGGGGTTTTGAGAAGGTGGGGGGTTTTGAGGGGGTGGGGGGGTTGAGAGGGGGGGTTTGGTTGAGAGGGTGGGTGGTTGGAGGGTGGGTGGTTGAGAGGGTGGGTGGTTGAGAGGGTGGGTGTTTGAGAGGGTGGGTGGTTGAGAAGGTGGGGTTGAGAGGGTGGGTGGTTGAGAGGGGGGGGTTGAGAGGTGGATGTTGAGAGGGTGGGTGGTTGAGAGGGTGGGTGGTTGAGGTGGGGTGGTTGAGAGGGTGGGTGGTTGAGAGGGGGGGTGGTTGAGAGGGTGGGTGGTTGAGAGGGTGGGTGGTTGAGAGGGTGGTGGTGAGAAGGTGGGTGGTTTGAGGGGATGGGTGGTTGAGAGGGTGGGTGTTGAAGGGTGGATGGTTGAGAGGGTGGGTGGTTGAGAGGTGGATGGTTAGAGGGTGGGTGGTTGAGAGGGTGGGTGGTTTGAGGGGGGGGTTTGGTTGAGGGGGGGGTGGTTGAGAGGTGGAGGGTTGAGAGCATGGATGGTGAGGGTGGGTGGTTGAGAGCGTGGAGGTTGAGAGGGGGGGGGTTTTGAGAGGGTGGGTATTTTGAGGGTGGGTGGTTGAGAAGGTGGGGGTTGAAAGGATGGGTGGTTGAGAAGGTGGGGGGTTAAAAGGGGATGGGTGGTTGAGAGGGGGGGTGGTTGAGAGGGTGGGTGGTTGAGAGGGTGGGTGGTTTGAAGGGTGGGTGGTTGAGAAGGTGGGTGGTTGAGAGGGTGGGGGGAGGGGTGGGTGGTTGAGGGGAGGGGTGGTTGAGAGGGTGGGTGGGTTGGGGGGTGGGTGGTTGGAGGTGGTGGTTGAGAGGGTTGGTGAGGGGTGGGTGGTTGAGAAGGTGGGTGTGTTGAGAGGGTGGAGGGGTTAAGAGGGGGGTGGTTGAGAGGTGGTGGGTTGAGAGGTTGGGTGGTTGGAGGGTGGGGGGTTGAGAGGGTGGGTGGTTGAGAGTAGGGGGTTGAGAGGGTGGATGGTTGAGAGGGTGGGGTTTGAGGGGTGGGTGGTTGAGAGGGTGAGTGGTTGGAGGTGGAGGTTGAGGGGTGGGTGTTGATAGGGGGGTGGTTGAGGGGGGGGGGTGGTTGAGAGGGTGGGTGTTGGAGAGGGGGGGTGGTTGAGAGGTTTGGGTGGTTGAGAGGGTGGGTGGTTGGGGGGGTGGGTGGTTGAGGGGGTGGGTGGTTGAGAGGGTGGGTGGTTGAGAAGTTATGAAAGTCATACTTGTCAGTATGACCTTCATGTCAGTAGTATGACCTTCATGTCAGTAGTATGACCTTCATGTCAGTAGTATGACCTTCATGTCAGTAGTATGACCTTCATGTCAGTAGTATGACCTTCATGTCAGTAGTATGACCTTCATGTCAGTAGTATGACCTTCATGTCAGTAGTATGACCTTCATGTCAGTAGTATGACCTTCATGTCAGTAGTATGACCTTCAAACAAAGTTATTTTGAGTTTTGTTATCAGTGAACATAATTATGATTGTTTACTTATGAGTCGTATATTATTCTATCACTAAAAACATTAATATTGGTTGTATTTGCCTCAGGTATCTATGGTGGACTTGATGAAGAATTGTTTGATGATATTCGTGATGGTATGGACGTGACCATTGCCACACCGCCCACCTCACTCCTGCCAAGTGTTCACTATGAACGTATGGCATCTGTTTTTAACGACTCTGGTTACTTCTGTACCTCCATCCCAGAGCTGCAAGCTGCAGTGACTCAGGCTCTGAAGGAACAGCATAAACCATCACTCATCAATGTCATTGTCAACCCCATGGCTCAACGCAAAGCTCAAGACTTTCCCTGGCTTACACGCTCAAAACTATAAGCCAAGAGAATTTGATGCAATATTTAGACTGTGAGAGAAGAATTGGGAATCTATATATTAGAATAGTGGGAGATACACTAGACTAAATAGTGTTCATATTTTTGTCACATTCACATTGTTCTAAACTTGAATGGGCAAAACAGCAATAGCTGTGTAATATTTTTATCTGGGGTTATAATAGATATTAATGCTATGTTTAGCAATGATGAGATTCTAAAGGATAAACCTAATTTTAAAAATGTTGTGTCTGAGGACAAGGTGTAGAGAATGTTGAGGGAGTTTAAAGTCATGTAAAAGTGAAGACATTCAACAAAGGCAGCTATCAGAATCATCACAAACAACTTATAGACAACACATCATTCCCTTACGTAAGTTCCTAAACCTTTAAATACAAATGTTATTTATAATTACTACTGCTTGCTGAGCACTGTTAGAGCACTGCTCTGTAGTACTCATGATGACTTGAGACTTCCAGGAAGATTGTAACACAACATATATATGCATCATGCTACGAAAAAAAATGTCTCTTTGATATTCCTTGTATTCATTTGTATCTTGACAGAAACTATGAAAATTTAAGGGGGAATAATGTAGAATTACTTATCAGATGAATAAAAAAAATGTAAAAATAGTGTTTTTAGGTACAGTGGAACCTCAAATATCGAACTTTCTTCGGTCCAGAAGTCTGTTCGAGTGCCTTTACCGAATGAATTTATTCCCATCAGGAATAATGTAAATTAGATTAGTCCATTTCAGACCCTTAAAAATACACTTATAAAAGCACTTACAAAAATACACTTACATAATTGGTTATGTTGGGAGCAGTTCGATTTTTGAGGTTCCACTGTACTTTGTGCCTAAATAGTAAAATAATGTATTTCTATATATTTTGTTCAATTTAATGCTACCGTATTAACCCTTTGAGGGTTTCGGACGTACTAGTACGGCTTACGACCCAGGGTTTTTGATGTACTAGTACGCCTAAATTCTAGCACCTTCAAATCTAGTAGGAGAAAGCTGGTAGGCCTCCATATGAAAGAATGGGTCTATGTGGTCAGTGTGCATAGTATAAAAAAAATCCTGCAGCACCCAGTGCATAACGAGAAAAAAAAAACTGACCGTTTTTTTTGGAATAAAACAGTGACTTTGCACTGTATTTTCGTATGGTATTTATTGTTGTATTCTAGTTTTCTTAGTCTCATTTTATAGAATGGAAGGCATATCATAGAAATTGAGATGATTTTGACTGGTTTTACAATAAAAAGTACCTTGAAATTGAGCTCAAAGTAGCAGAAATGTTCGATTTTTACCAAAGTTCAAAAGTAAACAAATCATGCCAAGCGTCCAATACACATCAACGGCGTGAGTCTAATATTCTTTTGCAAGTGCGCCAATATGATTCATACCATTTTTTACACTAATGCAGTAGTCTGCATAACAGTAAATCATCTATTTTTTGTGAGAATAAAAATTCAAAGTGGAAAGCAAAAGAATGTAAGAGGGGCCTTGAGAAGTGACTAATGAACAGAGGAAATGTCATTTTAGTGCCAGGAATGTATTTCTTGTTTGTTCTGGACCCTATTCGGAAATTGGCATCTTTTGAAATTTGTGTGAAATTGGCAAAATTGCTAAATTCTGACCACTGTACTGGATAGTTGAAATTGGTAAATGGGTGGTTTCTTGCACTCATTCAATAGAAAAAACGTAGTTCTAGCGAAATATTCATGTTTTTTTTCGACTAGTACAGTGGAACTGGCCGAAAATGGGGCTCAAAGTGGGCAAAATCGCCGATACGTAAACATCGCCGAGACCGCTTACTTCACGAGAGCATAATTCCGTAAGTTTTCCATCAAATTTCATATTTTTGGTGTCATTATGATCGGGAAAAGATTCTTTATCTTTTCATAAGAAAAAATTATTATTTTTTTTTTTAAATTTGGCCAACCCTGAGAACGAGTCTCGGAGAGGGCCTGTCGACCCTCAAAAGGTTTATCACTCCATGTATCTTTTGTTAATTCTTCCTCTCAGTTTTATATTAAAATTAACTATATATTTATCACATCATTACTCTTACTATTGCTTTTTGTAAGCTCGCCTCTTAAGAAAATTTTAGTAGGTGGACTACAGGGTTATTATGGATTGCATATAAAAATTATATTAATCTATTTGCTTATTTATTTACCAATCATTTTGGGTTTTTTTTTTTAATCTTTATAAATTACACAAATATACTGGTTGATGTGTGGATATTATATATTCTTATTTACCAGTCATTCACTCTGTTACTCAGAAATTTCAACACTGCGCAAGAAATTTTCACAAAATAGGCGATTTTGACAGGTATTAATCTGTGGGTCTTCGTATATTTCCTGCTCTGCTCACAGGAATTTTTCTACAGCTGATGTGGGTCCAGCTGTTCCTACCATATACTGTGCAATGAATAGTCTCATTATATTAATGATACACAATACAGTGGACCCCCGGGTCACGTTATTAATCCGCTCCTGAGAGCTCATCGTAAAGCAAAATTATCGGAAAGCGAATCAATTTTCCCCTTAAGAAATAATGGAAATCAAATTAATCCGTGCAAGACACCCAAAAGTATGAAAAAAAAACTTTTACCACATGAAATATTAAGTTTAATGCAATAGGACCCACACGTTACTGAATTCACAAACACAATGAGTAACTGCATGTTGCTACCAACAGTAACAAAACCTACACGAGTTACAGAGACTAGTGTTTCCCTACTTGACCACATCTGGACCAACACCATATCCCCTTTAAAATCAGGCATAATTACAGATAATACCACAGACCACTACCCTACTTTCCTCATAACAACTCTTGGTAAAATACCCCAAGACACTACTAAAGTCACCTTCAGACTTCACAATGAGGCAGCCATTAATAACTTCACAATAGCAGTAACAAACATTGACTGGCACACTGAGCTAGAAATCTATACAGATATTGACGAATGTTTTAATAATTTTCTAAAAAAGACCCAATACCTTTATAACAAGCACTGCCCTAAAAAACTAAACAGATGACAGCTAAGAGACTGAACAGTCCCTGGCTAACACCCAGCATTCTCAAATCCATAAATACAAAACACCGATATGAAAAACAGTACAGAATGGGTCACATAACCAGAGACCAAACAAAACGTTACTCGTCAATCCTAACCAGCCTGATAAGAAGGGCAAAAAAATTGTATTATGAGAACAGATTATCCAACTTACGAGATGACATAAAAAAGACCTGGAAGACCCTATCAGAAATTCTGGGAACAAAAAAGATATCACGACATAGCGAAATAAAATTAGCAAAATCAGATGAACCCCAACTCCCACCAACAGAAACAGCAAACAGACTCAATGATTTCTTCTCCACTATAGGTCAAAACCTTGCCAATAATATCCCAAGCTCAGATACCCCACCAAATGACTACCTCACTGGCAACTACCCAAACACACTGTTCCTAGCTCCGACTAACCCATACGAAGTCTCCCTTATTATCAACGCACTGAAAAACAAGGCAGGAGATTTAAATACCTTACCACCCTTTATATACAAAAAAGCGTCACAAGTACTATCACCAATCATTGCAACACACTTTAACAAATCCATTGAATCCTCCACCTTCCCTACAGTTCTCAAAATAGCAAGGGTCACCCCGATCCATAAAGGAGGAGACCAAACAGAGTTGAATAACTATAGGCCAATATCCAATTTACACCCTCTCTCAAAAATCTTCGAAAAATTAATTCATAAACGAATCTACTCCTACCTCATCTCCTATAACATTCTCAACCCCTGCCAATTTGGATTCAGGCCTAATAAAAATACTAATGATGCTATTATACACATGCTAGAACATATATACACTGCAATTGACTTACGTAAAGCTTTTGATACAGTTGACCATGACTTGCTCCACGTAAAATTGTCACACTATGGTACTAGAGGGCACTCCCTCAACTACCTCAAGTCTTACCTCAGCAACAGAAGCCAATATGTGTACGCAAATGGGGCAAGCTCTTCCACACAACCAATTACAGTTGGTGTCCCACAGGGAAGTGTCCTTGGCCCTCTTCTCTTTCTCCTATACATAAATGACCTACCAAATGCTTCGCAATTACTCAAACCCACACTTTTTGCAGATGACACCACATACGTCTTCTCTCACCCGAGCCCAGCCACGCTAGCCAATACTGTAAACACCGAATTACAGAAAATATCTACCTGGATGAGGACTAACAAACTTACATTAAACATTGACAAAACCTACTTCATTCAGTTTGGTAGCAGAGCTACAGATGTACCTCTTAACATAACGATAAACGGATCACCTATCGCAAAGCTAACAGAGGGAAAATTCTTAGGAATCCACCTCGATAATAGACTCAAATTTCATACACATATACAACAAATTTCTAAGAAAATTTCCAAGACTGTAGGCATACTATCGAAGATACGGTACTATGTTCCACAGTCAGCCCTCCTGGCCCTTTATCACTCTCTTATTTACCCCTATCTCACCTATGGAATTTGTGCATGGGGCTCAACAACAACTAACCATCTCAGACCACTAATTACCCAACAAAAGGCTGCAGTTAGAATGATAACAAATTCTCACTACAGGCAGCACACTCCACCAATATTCAAAACACTCAACCTACTCACCATACAAAACATCCATACTTATTATTGCACTTATTACATACATAGAACACTTAACTCTGATATTAACCCTCCCCTCAAACATCTCCTTGCCAACCTCAACAGAACACATGACCATAACACAAGGCACAGATCACTCTTTGATGTTCCTCGTGTCCATCTCACGCTATGCAAAAACTCAATGCACATAAAAGGCCCTAAAATCTGGAATTCATTACCTGTAAATATAAAAGAAACACTACCTGTTTATAAATTCAAGTCTCTTCTCAAAGTTCACTTACTCACTCAAAACCAAATAAATACTGAATAACTGAACCATATAAATTGTATATCCTAAATGTTACTCACAATTATATCACACAAATGTTAAACCTAACTTTGTTATTTTTTTTTTTAAATACACTACCTGAATGAACAGCAATGCATGCAACCATATGACCAGTCTTTGAAATACTCATTTGTATTTTATAGTTATCTGTTTACAATAATGTCTTATCACTGATTTCATCATTGCTTAGTTAATCTTAAGTTAATTTTAAGCCAGCCCGTAATGCTATGCATATAAGTGGCTTTGGCATGCCGCTCTTACCTGTATTTTTTTGTACCTCTGTATGTATGCTAAAATTTATAAATAAATAAAAAAATAAATAGAATAATTACAATAACAATAATAACAATAGAATAATCACAATAGAATAATTGACACTTACTTTTAATGAAGATCTGGTGATGATTGATGGGATGGGAGGAGGGGAGAGTGTCGAAGTTTTTAATGTTTAGAAGGGGAATCCCCTTCCATTAGGACTTGAGGTAGCAAGTCCTTTTCTGGGGTTACTTCCCTTCTTCTTTTAATGCCACTAGGACCAGCTTGAGAGTCACTGGACTTCTGTCGCACAACATATCTGTCCATAGAGGCCTGTACCTCTCGTTCCTTTATGAGTTTCCTAAAGTGGTTCACAACATTGTCAGTGTAATAGTCACCAGCATGGCTTGCAATAGCTGTGTTAGGGTGATTTTCATCCATAAAGGTTTGCAGTTCAACCCACTGTGCACACATTTCCTTATTTTTTGAAGTAGGCACAATGGATTCCACAACTGGCATAGGCTTCTCAGAGTTAGCCCCAAATCCTTCAAAATCTTTCTTAATTTCCATACTAATTCTCACCCTTTTTTACCACAGGGTTGGCACTAGAAGCTTTCTTGGGGCCCATGGTGACTTATTTTGCAGAAACAAGCACCAAAAACAGTGATAATATGGATAATATGGAATGTACCGAATGTATCCTTAGATGCGCGCACACTGGCTGGCTTGTAAACACTGGCACACACGGGGCAGTTCAGGCTACACATGGACATGTCTCGTACGAATCGTATCACATACCGGGTTTTGTAACGGGAACCAAGGCAATTTTTTTACGATATAATGCTTCGGATACCGGATTTATCGGATACCGATGACTTTGTGAACCGGGGATCCACTGTACTGACAAGTTGATGAACAAGACACATGTGCAACATCTGAGTGTCCTTGTTAAAAATGTTTCATCTGTGCAGTAGGTTTCTTCCGTCTAATAGAGAGGTGGCTTGTACCAGAGTTATAGAAGGTATCCTGGTGTTAGTGTGTCAGACAAGTATAGGTCCGCCATCACAAATCCGGCAATCAGTTATTCGGTTCCTTCAGTTATTCGGCACTAGTTTTGGCTAGCATAATTTCAAATTTCCAGGGTCACCACACCAACCTGCTGGTACTGATTGGTGCAGCTACTTGCTGCATAAGTCATTCCAATTTCTTTTTCTCCATTTATTATTTTAACCTGCTTACTTTTAGCCCTAGCCATGGTTCCAGTGAATAAAAGAAATGCTGCTCATTATGTAAAGCACCTACACAGTACATTATCCATTAAAGATAAGGTGACTTTGAAGTCACTTTTGGTTGCCATGAACTCAGTCTCATGAAGCAGGAGAATATGCTTTATTATTACGCTGCTGTATAGCCCTTGTGGCTTAGCGCTTCTTTTTTATTATAATAATATTATTATGCTAATATCAACACTACAGCTTATTTGCCTATCACAATTGATCTAATATGGCATAATAAACAATATAAATAACATAAAACATGTTAAATACTCCAGAATAAATAATATTTGGCATAACACCGAGCATTTCGACGGAGGTATGAAGAGGATATGGTATACAAATACCATTCGCCTGTCCCTGTCTTGGTGGCTTATATTAGAGAAAACGGAATGTAGCACAGGGCTAACTGTGATATACACTTGTACTGCACCATAAGCATGAAACAAAAGTTATTTTCTCTCTATAGATTATCACACATAGCAGCATATGTGTAGAGAACCTAGGATAACCCAAAAAAGTCAACGTGGCTTATTTTTAGTACCTGGCTTGGGTTAGCCATATATGATTTTTTGTAAATATTCGATTCCCAACCAGGGTAGAAACATTAGGCGTGTTTCTT